CCAAACTTCATCATTCGGGTTCGGGCTGGAGAACGTGTGCACCGCGTGACGAGATCCTTCGTGGGGAACCGAGAGATAGGGCAGATCACTCTTAAGAAGGACCAGGTAGGCTGTGGCCCCAACCTAATCCCAGGCCTGAATGCCCCCTAGCCCACCACACTCCTTGGAGAGCTTAACCATTAATGAGACTAGGGTAAGCCCCTGTAACCCCGGGCTCCCCTGCTGTCCTCTCCTACCGTTTCCTTTGATTCTTCTCCTACTTCTGATCCTTTAATCCTCTAGATTGTGGTACAGAAAGGAGACGAGGCTGGCGGCTATGTCAAGGTCTACACCGGCCGCAAGGTGGGGCTGTTTCCTACCGACTTTCTGGAGGAGATTTAGGCTCGCGGGTGCCCGCAGGCGGGAGACACCCACACCCATTCTGGGCGGGCCCAGTGGAATTTGGGGAGGGGGCGAAAGCAACGGGACTGCTGGATGGATAGGAAGACCTGCCTGAGCATGATGGGGCTTCTGGGAAGGGACTGGTTCTCGCCCCCTTCCCCAGCCTGGGGCCTCGGACACCTGATGCCCAGAGCAGCCCCCACCCGAAACCTTTCGGACCCCGCTTGCAAGAGCTGGAAGATAATGCATATCCACCAGGAGGAGCGAGGGACTTGGCATTGGGAGGGCAGGGGCGGGGGCGCGCAAACTGTCGAACGTTGCAAATTTATTAAAGTTTTGACAAAACGTAGAAAAGTTGTTCTTTAACTGTGGTTGAGGAGAAGGCCTGCAGAGGGGTGGAGAATACCCCCTAGCCGTCCCAGCTAGCTACCATCGGTAACCCGAGATCCATCTGGGCTGAGGTTGGCGGGAGGTGGGAAGACAGGTGCAGCTGCCAGGCGAGCCCTCTGTTATCAGTGAAGAAAGGGAAGCACGGGACTGGAGTCGCCGCCCCCGCGCCCCAGAGGCTGGGAGCAGGATCTTGTAGTAGGGTAAGTCCCCCTTGTTCTTGGCGTTTTCGCCACGGGCAGCCCCTTGCATTTCGGAATCTGGCTTGGCACCCAAGCTAGGCCGCCAGGGGGCGATACAAGATCTCGGTTGGAGAGCGAGGGATCGGGAGGGGTGGAGGGTGGGTAAGGGGAGAGAAGTGGAGACACCAAGACCGAGACCCTGGGCCTGGGAGGGGGTGGGGTGCGTGCCGTCTCCATGGTAACACTTCCTCAAGTCCTCCGGGAACCGAGCTAGCGAGGCCAGGGGCCTAACCCCTCCCGTGCGGCCCCTGCCCTAACCCTTTCCGACAGGTACTGAGTGAGGACGCAGGGCAGACAGCTTCCTGGCTCTCAAGGAGACACCCCTGCGGAGCGCCGTATGCAAATGTTATTATTTGCATATGCAAATATGCAAATATGCTGGTCCTGGTCAGGGCGGCAGGTGGCGAGGAGAGGGAAGGTGTGGGGAAGGGAGCAGAAGGAGGAGTTTGGGGACCTGGGAGCGGACCCAGTGAGAGGCAGGCTGGGGTGGTCACTGGAGTGGGACAGGCGGGCGGGGGGCGGGGGCTGGGGGGTGGGGGGGAGGGAGGGAGGGGCGGATGGTTCTTGAGCTCGATGGAGGGTGGGGGAGGGTCGGCTTGGCCAGCCAGGAGCTCCTCTTCTCGTCTCCCCGTTGTCTGCCAGGACTGAGGTTGGCACCGCCTAGCAAGGTTGGCAGCGGGAGCCCGGGCACCATCTGCTGCTGGATGGGGGGAGGGCAGAGGCTCAGCTGGGCTGGAGAAGAGGAGGGCCTGGGACCCACGGGCCCCCTTCTAGAAGGCTGAGGTGTGATGGCGGTAGGGAAGCACACAAGACTCTGCAGAACCGGGTTCAGTTTTCTGCTCCCTTTGCCCTTGACGGTCCCGGATTCCTGAGGGGTGGAGGTGGAGTCATTAAAGAAGACCCCCCCCTTTAATCGCAATTGAGCTAGAACAGTAGATCACAGGCACACACACACACACACACACACGCACACGCACACCAACCACACACAAATCAAGCCTTCTGCCCTCATCCTTCCTTGAAATCCACCTACCACGAATGTATGAGGGGAGGGTCCGAGAGGGTTCGGGTCATCTCTATTCGTCAAGGTCTGAGGTTCTCAAAACCAGAGCCCTCCCGCCCCAGATCCTCGAGAGCCTTCCCCCCCCATGCTAAAGTAAAACCAATTTACTGGCTCATTGGGCGGCAATGCTGGTGTGCGGATGCCGAGGAGCAGGGAGAGCGGCTGTTCTCCCCCTACACTCGGGGAGGCGACCCCCTCCCTAGCCTCGCTGAGCCGGCAGCTGTCCCTAATTAGAGCGGCGGTTTAATTGGATTTATCAGCAGTTAATAGGAAATTAAGCAAAGGGCCCGAGAGAAGGGGGGGCGGGAGGAACGGGGGAAACAGGCTGTGCTGAGCTCGAAGGAGGGATGCTGGGGTACCAGGGGTGGGAACAAGTGGTCCATGGTCACACCCTCCCCTCAGTGCTCACCATGACTGTTAAGCCTTGGCCCGCGGGCGGGAAAGCAGGTCCCCAGAAAGGGCGGTGGGAATGACAGTGACCCTGTGTGAGCTCCCAACACCCTCCATCCCCTTAAGCTGCGCCTGGGTGATGGATGATACTGCCGTACGCTGCAAAGGTCATAAGTCTGGGCCAAGGAGCAGACTGAATTGAAAATAGATCTGAAGAAGGCCAGTACTGGGGTGCAAGACACAACCCGCACCCCAACCTCCTTCACTGCCCACTCTACTCAAAACACACACACACACACACACAGCGCTCCTTGAAGTCGGAAGACTGGGGCAGCACGGGGGGGTGGGGTGGGGTGGGGGGAAGGCAGGATACAGAGTGACCCTCTCTATAACCCCCACCAGCAGGCGTGTTGGGGATCCTAAGAATCTCCTGATGCAGCTCCAACGTTCCCTTTTTGCTCCCCCTTCCCCAAACTGCCCGATTGAAGTTGGGGTTCATCGGGTCTGCTGCTCAGGGGCGGCCCAACATCAGCACCACCCGCCCTAGGGGCCAGGCAAGGAAGCTTGCAGGCAGCTGGGCGCACGGGTTTCCTAGTCCACAGCCCCAGGCGCCTCCTGTCACCAAGACCTCATTATACTGCTAGGCTAACAAGGCCTGCTCCCGAGACCCTGAAGACCTCCCTGCCACATTCCACCCCGCAGGGCACAGATGGTAACTCTTGCATATGCTAAGGTGTGCCAGCCTCTGAGTGGGTGTGGGTGGTCTCTCCGTGCCGCTGGCAATTATGGGCATCTGTATCCCCAGCATGTGGTCTGTGTGTGTCTGCTTGTTCCTGGGTGTGTGTGGTGTGTCTACCTGAGCCCCAGGTGTGTCCAAATCTGTGCCGGGTGTGTGTCTGTTCCCCTGAGTGAGTCTGTGTCTATCGGGTTTGTCCACTTCCCGCTCCCCGGCTCCCATCTGGGTGATTTTGCCCGGTATGCCTCCTCGCGGGGACGTTTCCGTGCATCTCCGCCTACAGGTTTGTATGTGTGAAAATCAGGAAGAGCCAGCGGGGAGTGTGTGTTGCTCTCGCATCTCCACCTGCAGGTATGTGTGTCTCGGTGACAGTGCGTGGGCGTGTGCCTGGGTGTGAGCCGCGCGGCGGCGTGTATCCGAATGACAGTGTGACGCACGTGTGCGCTCGCGTGTGTGCGCGCACGCCGGGATGAGTCTCCCGCCCCCCACTCCTTCCTTTCCCCATTCCTATTCCTCTTTCCTCTCCCGGTCGGCTCGGCTTCACCGGCCGCATCATCTCCATCCATTATTGAAGAAACAGCCGCGTCCGCTCCAATCACATCAACACCCCCGCCCCCTTCCCGTTCCGCTCGCCCCGCGGCCCCTCTGGGTGCTGAGGAGAGGGAAAGCCAAGACACTGTGGGGGCGCCGGGTGGGAATGGGCTTATGACCCCGTGCCTCAAGCCAGGCCATGCGCCGGGACTCCGGGGTTCCCGGCGGAGAGCGCTTTGCATAAACAGATGGCGGGCTGTCTTTGTCTTGCTCGCTTGCTCACCGCGCAGCTCCCGGCGCTGCTTCTGTCTGGCTGATGCAATCATGATCATCTCGGAGCCTCGGAACCCGGCGCCCTTAATAACGGCAGAGGGGGTCAGGGGCCCCGGGGCTCCCGAGCAGATGCTCGGCTCTGTCTTTTCTCCCGGGAGCCCCTCCACGTCCCACAGCCGCAGAGGGAAGACCAACGCCACTCGGAGGTGACGGCAGGTGGAGGTGACCAAGAGGAGAACCCCGGGCAGTGCCCTGAGGTGTCCCCGGGCTGCCCCGTTGGACTGGTGCAGTCCCCAGAGGCAGCAACCCAGAGAATAGGAATATAGCCGGGGAATGGGGTAGGGGAGAGACAGAGACAAAGAGAGTCATTAGTAAAGAGAGACACAGTGAGATGGAGAGATGTAGAGGGAGGAAGCGAGACACAGAGAGACACAGAGAAACCGATGCAGAGGGACAAAGCCAGGTAGGGAAAGCAGCAAGAGGGAGATCAGACACAGCCAGAATGCTAAGGAAGAGAGAGATGAACATACCCAGAGAGGGAGCAGACAGATAGATCGCCCGAAGAAGAGGCAGAAGGAAGGGCAGCCAGGGGCTAGGACCGGCTGGGTCAGAGGGCAATCTTGAATCTCCAGTCCAGAAGCAGAGATGAAGCCCCCGCCTCCCCGGCCCCCAGGTATGAACCCGCCTGAACCCTGAGTGCCGACTGTGGCTGGCGAGGCAGGAGCTTCCGCGTCCCCTCTCCGCCCTCCGGTCCCATCTCACACCAGAAGAGTGGAGGCTGCGGGACCCACTGTCTTGGCGGCGGGAGTGGCGGAGTGACGGACTGGGCGTGGACGGACTGACACTCCGGGCACCAACTTAGCGGCCCGAACGCCGGGAGTGCAGGGTCCCCACTGCCCGACAGGGGGTGCCCAAGGCCTCTTCCCCGAGCTTGGGGGCCGCTCGACCTCCAGGGGGCGCCCGTGCCCACGGCCCCAGCAACCCGTTCGATCCACTGTGTCCCGCTGCTTTTGACCCGCTGTGCAGACAGTGCGCGAATTGGGATCCTGGTGCGGTTTAGCGCGCCGAGTCCAGTCCCAGCGGGATCCCTAATCTACAGCTAATGACTCCTGCGGCCCCCCACCCCGCAGGGCCAGTCCTCATGGTGAGAAAGTGTGGCGGGCGAGGAGAGAACCCGAGGGGTCCTGTGTCCCAGATCGGCCCCAAGGGCCACGAGCCAGAAACAGTAACCAAAGATGGAAGGCGGCTTAGAAATAAGTTCACAAAGACAGGGACTAGAAGCAGCTGAAGGGTCAAGGAGTGGCGGAGAGGCGGAGCAGAGGCAATAATGTAACGTTGCCGCTCGGTGAGCGAGGCGGAGGCTCAAGGCCGGAAGAACAGCGGCGGCTCTGGAAAAAGCGCGCGACAGAGGTTATGGGACCTGGCCGGGGTCACCGGAACTCAGACTAAGTGCACAAGGAGGCAGGCGAGGGCCCGTGTGCAAAGGCGCAAGGACCAGGCGCCCCTTCCGGCGTCCTGGCTCCCCAGCTGTGCCACAGAGAACCAGATGTGCAGCCCAGCTGTGCGGCCGCCCGAGCTGGAGCTCTGGGATTGCTTTTTGGTTCCAGAGACTGGAGGGCTGGGGTGCGCGGATGACAGGACACGCCCTCCCTTCCGGGGCCCTGGAGGCGCGAGTTCCCTGGGAAGGCTGGGCTGGTGGAGACTCTGACATCTCGTCAGCCCGGCTCCCCCGCCCCACACACACTTCGCAGCGAGTCTCTGTCTCTTTGTTCTCGCCGTGTCTCTGACACTTTATCTCATTATCCGCCTGAGGGAGGCGGAGAGCCCGGGACCCCGCAGCCTAATTACAGCCGCGCTTGTCAGAGTAGGGGGCGGCGGAGATATCGGCGCGAAGGAAAGGGAGGGGGACCCCAGAAAGCGCCCTCTCCCTCCCTGTACCCCGAGGATCCCAGAGACCGGCGAGCAGCTCGCTCCCGCCCGCGCCCTCCATAGCCGGGCTCTGGAGGGGGAGGTGCGGGTGCTCCGCCGGATCGGCTGCGAGCAGGGAGGGGGTGGTGGAGGTTAAAGTGGGAGTGGGGGGAGAGATTAGGCCTCGGCTCCTGCGTCCCCAAGATCCAAATTCCCCAGAGACGGGGGGCTTTGAGCCTCCCCACCCCAGCAGCACAGCACTCACCTGAGAAGGCTGAGGACAGGGAGTTGCTCGCTCGCAGTTCTGTCTCTGCGTTTTGTTCTCTTTCCTACCAGCATCTTCCAGACCTTTCCTGTTTCCCTCACTCCATTCCCTTCCCCTCCATCCCACAGCCAGAGGAAGAGGATGGCTTCCTTGGGCAGCTCCACCTTCACCCTACCCCAGGTAGGCAGAGCAAGCAAGCCTCTCAAGCCCCACTAGGGCCTGACTGTGGCAGAATAAATAAACTGGCTTATTCTATCCTGATCCTGAGCCGTCAATAAGATACACCTGGTTCTCCCAGCCTCCAACCACGATTGCAGTCCAACCGACACCTGGAGAAACCACTCAGAACAAGAGGGGCTGGGGCAGCTTTATGGTGTCGGCCTGTCTCCCTCCTTACCCCACTACACTGAGGAGGAGACAGAACCGGGTCCTCAGGACCCGCTCCTGGACGGCTCCAGGGGTGTCAGGGAAGTGCTGAACATGCCCTCACTGGCCCTGGCCCCTCCTGGTCCCACCTGTGAATACTCCACACATGCATTTTGTTAAGTGCCTGTCCCAAGGCCATCCCTCCTCCACATGGGGTCCTCCTCCTCCTCCAAATGGGGTCCTATGCCAATAAGCCTATCCCTCAGATGCCCAAAGCCCCAAGAATGATGGCGTCCCTTGGGCCAGGTACAGGCATCTGGAGGAGAGAGTCAGAGAGCAGAAACCTCTTGGCTCCCAGACAATTCCCCTCCAGGCTTTAGGCCTGGAATTGAGAAAGTGAGCTAAGTGGGGGTGGGGCCAGGCTAAGCTGCTCTGGGCTGGGCTGATCCCTCCCCAGCGGGGGGCGGGACCCCAGAAGGAGGGAGAGGGCAGAGCCATTGGAGAGGACCAGACATTGGAAAAGCGACATGGCAGGAGCCAGTCTTGGGGGCCGCTTGTACCGGCAGATCAAAAGACATCCGGGGGTGAGTTCCATCCTCAGAAACTCTGATTCTAACTCCTAACTCTCCTGCTGCCCCACCCTCCAAATCCTCCAGTGCCTTGCCTTGTGCCCAGGTCCCTCAGCGCTCCTAATCCTCCCCCAAGATTGCCTCAGTCTCTCCAAAATGTCCCTGTGTCCCACAAATCCACTACCTTGGACAGGATCGCTGTAGGGTGAGGGAGACCATGCCAGAAAATATGGTTGTAGGAGGTTCCAGGTCCCCTCTCCCGCAAGGGAGGGAGCACCAGACTTGGGGTGGGGTTGGGATGGACGGAAAAGCTTGTAAAGGGTGACTGAACTGCGGGGAGAGGGCTGACCCCAAAAGTGCTCTCCATGTTCCCTGCAGCTCATCCCGATGATCGGCTTCATCTGCCTGGGCATGGGCAGCGCTGGGCTCTACTTGCTTCGACTTGCCCTGAAAAGCCCCGACGTCTGGTAAAGGGCGGACTTGGGATGCTCTCAGGGGGCCTGGGCGAGGCAAGATAGGGTGGGAAGGCGTTCACCTCTCAGGAATGGTGGGAATAGGTGGCCCTGGTGGGGATCCCCAGCCCTGCTGCATGCCCCTCCGACTGTACTGACCAGCATCTCAGGGCTGGAACACACTGCTGACCTGGGAGACCCCCGCATCCCCTCCAGCCCACCTGGCCACTCACTCCTCGGCTTGGGCCCCCCTGAACTACAGAACCCTTGCCAGTCCTGGCCTGGTTACCATGACAACGCCACTCAGCCTTGGCGGGCTCCGGCTTTTGGGTCCCTCTAAGTCCGTGCCAGAACACTGAGGGTTTGGCCGAGTGAGCTGCTGGGGGTGGCATTGGGGATTTCAGGGTGGCGCAGAGATTTCACACCCGGCCCTCGGAGGGGGTCCAGAAGTGAAAGGTGCACCCACCCAAGGCTTTATAATTGCAGGCACACCACCAGAAACTCAGCCCGTGGGATCCCTGCCTGATTCCCACAGCTCTGCTCTTGGGGTTAACCTAGGGTGGCAGGTAGCAAATGGGAGTCCCTGGGCCTCATTGTCAGTTTGTCACCCAGCCCCATGCTGACAATGGTGACAGGCTTGTCTCACTTGACAGCACCCACTAATATGACCCTTCCCTGTTAGTCTCTGGGAAATGGGCCCCCCAGGGCAGGAAGTGGGGGTACTGGGGTGGTGCCAGAGCCTCCGGCTGGAGCTTGGTCAAATTGGGTTACAGAGTCCTGGGTCCCAGGGAGGAGACCCTAACCCTCCCTCCTCCTCCCGCTCCACAGCTGGGACAGAAAGAACAACCCGGAGCCCTGGAACCGTCTGAGCCCCAATGACCAATACAAGGTACCTCGCGATGGCTCCAGGGTTGCCCCCATCCTCTTATCTTCTGGTCTTGAGACCCACAACTCCCTACTAGAAGCAAAGGGAGGCTTGGGGCAGTCAGTGCAACCTCCTTTCCTTCTCCTTAGTTCTTCGCAGTTACCACTGACTATAAGAACCTGAAGAAGGACCGGCCAGACTTCTAAGCCAGGCTGGGCGGCCAGTGCCATGCAAACCACGGACAGCCAGCCCACCCACTTCTTCTACTCCTTCCCCAGACCCCTCCCTGCAAACGCCAAGGCGTCGGTCCGGCCACCCTGTCCTGCTCCTGCTTACAAAGGCTGGGTTCCCACGAAGAGGGGAGGCTGCTCCACCCCTACTCTCCTTCCCGACTCCCAGCAGCGGAAGCACCTCTGACCCTCGGCTTGAGTCCCACATGGGGGAGGGGGAGGCAGGCAGCGCCAGGAGGGGTCGACCAAAAAAACCCAAGCCAGCCCCTCTGCCGTCCCACGGGGCCTCGAAGGGTGTGGCACAGGCTACATGTTGAGCGTGGTCTACGTGAGCCAACAAGCAGGGGCCTCTGAGTGCCAAGCGACGTGGCGAGGTCCACGTTAGCTTGGGCTCTGGGAGCCAGCCCAGGGGCGGCGCTGCTCAGCTTGGGCTGGTCCAGGGCCTGCCCAGGCTGAGGCACCTCTGCCTCCTGAGGCGCAGCACACTCCTCCCCTGCCCAAGCCTCCCGCCAACAGTACCCCCTCTAGCCCCACACCTGGGCCTCCCCCTGCCATTCCCCTCCCTTGCTCCCCACTGTCCCCAGGGATCAAACAGAAGCAGCCGTGGGCAAAATACAATTTCATTTAACAAATTGAATTTGCTGCGGCTGCTAATCACGTCTGGTGTCGGCTCTGATCAGAGACAGAGAGAGGAGGCTGCGGCCCCGGGCGTCTTTGCGATGGAGGTGGTGGGAGGGAGGGGTGTACACATTGAGGGAGACGAATGACTGTTTGGCCCAGGGGACCCCACCCACAGTAATGGAAACTCAGGGCAGTTTAGCATTTTATTAGATAAAAACAGGAAGGAGACTGCCCACCCACTCTTGCCTGCCACTGGCTCAGAAGGGCACTCCCCAACTTCCCCCAAGAAAGAGCACGAGTCTCTGACACTGTGATCATGACGGGTTCCAGCAGAAAGCACCTGGGTCCTCCTAAGTCTTGTTACCAAAAAAGGAAAAAGAAAAAATCTTCTCAGCTACAAATTCTGGGACAGGGACTACACCTGGCTCTTGCCCTAAGTGAGAGGTCTTCCGTCCCACACCAGAAAATAGAAAGGCTTTCTATTCCACTGGCCTAGGTGTGGGGAGGATAGTAACTTCCAGTCTGTGGGCCTCATTTCCCAGGTGCCTTCAACGCTCATCAAAACCAGGCATGGGGAAGGCCCGGGCAAACTGCTCCACCCGTTGCCTGAGGTCGGCCAGACGCTGAATTGTTTCCGAGTCTTTGAGCAGGAAGGATTTGAAATCCTGGAGCTTGGCTAGAGAGAGAGGGTGAGAAAACAAGTGGTCAGAGCTCTGGGGAAGGCAATGAAATTGGCTGGGGAAGACAGCAGACAGTGAGTGGGAACTGGCTGGCCTGGGGGGCCTTCTTGCCCACTCACCAGTTTTGCTCTTCACATCTAAGCCAATGCTGACCCCTTCATCTATAAAGTCCACAACTCTCCGGAAGTCATCCTCACGGAACTGTCGGGAAGTCAAGGCCGGGGCCCCTGGAAAGAGACACAAGAGGAGGGATGAGTATAGCCCAAGGTTACCTGGCAGGCATCCAGCATGGGAGCCCCTTCCCTCCTTGAATCCCAGGTCTCACCAAGCCGCAGGCCCCCTGGTGTGATGGCACTTCGGTCTCCAGGGCAGGTGTTTTTGTTGGCAGTGATGGATACAAGCTCCAGCACCCGCTCAGCACGAGCTCCATCCAGGCCCTTGGGCCGCAGGTCCACCAGCACCAGGTGGTTGTCAGTACCACCTAAGGCAGGTAAGAAATGGGGAGTGGTGAGTCCTGGGCCTTTGCCTGAAGCTATAGAGGCCCTCACCCATCCCCCGATGGCTCACCCGATACCAGTGAGTAGCCTCGCTGTAGCAGGGCATCTGCCATGGCCCGAGCATTCTTCAGAACCTGCAGGGAGTACTCTCGGAACATGGGGGTGCAGGCCTGGAGATGAAACAGTAGCAGCTGTGACCCCAGACGTGGACCCAAGCCCTGTACTGCCCTCTTGTCTCTGCACCCTCAGCAGAGCTCTGGGACCCCAGCCTTGATCCCTTCTATTTGCCCCAGCATCAGTTAGCAAGATGCAGGGTTTAAGCCTCCAGGCCACTGCCCCCCACACCCTACAGGGGCAGGATGCCGAACCTGCTTTAGGGCCACAGCTACTGCAGCAATGGCATGATTGTGGGGCCCCCCCTGCAGGGATGGGAACACGGCAAAGTTGATTCGGTCCTCAAATGTGTAAGGAATCTCCCGGCCAGTCTTGGGGTCCACAGCTTTCACCCCCTTCCGGTAGAAGATGAGTCCTGATCTGTGTGAGAGAAGTGGGTGGTCAGAATCTAAGCCGAAAAGAAGGACAAGGGACAGAGAAGGCAGAGGAAGCTGGCGGACCTGGGCCCTGAGGGCACACTTCATGTAGGCTTGGTACACTGGATTCCAGTGGAAGACGGAATCAGCCCCTCAATCCCGTCCCCAAATTCCTTGCCAGGGCATGGCCACCATGTGCAAGAGAAGAACTGTCACAGACTGGGCAGGAGTGTTTAGGGCTGCAGAAAGTATTCCTCTCAGGTCCAGGCCAACAGTGCCCCAGGAATAGGCCAGAAGGCAGGAAAGGCAACGCCCGACCTCAGGGAGCCTGACCTGGCCCCTCGAAGAGTCTTGTGAGTAGTTGTGGTGACGACGTCCGCATGCTTGAAAGGCGAGGGAATCACCTTGGCAGCCACCAGGCCACTGATGTGGGCCATGTCTGCCAGCAGGTGTGCTTTGACCTCATCACATACCTGGGCAGGTAGAGTGGCAAGGGCTCAGCCTGGGGAGAGCCCTGAGAGGCCTGCCCAAGGCTGCCCTCCTCCCACACCTCCTCACCACTCCTGGGGAGGTGCCCAGTCTCCAGCCTCCCACCAACCTCTCTCATGCGGGCGTAGTCAATGAGACGAGCATAGGCACTGGTGCCAGCTATGATGAGCCGTGGTCGGAAAAGTCGAGCAGTCAGTGCCAGCTGGTCATAGTCAATGAGGCCAGTTTTGGGCTGGACAGACAGACAAAGAGCTAAAGCCCCGAGAAGGAAGCAGGGCAGCTTCACTCTCCTCCTTGACCCTAAGGATGACCCAGGGCTTCAGTCCCTCAGCCTCTCCAGGAGAGGACCACCACCAGGGCCGAGAGCCCCTCCCCACACTCTAGAGCACTCACGTTGAGCTTATAGGGCATAGACTCGAAGAAGATGGACGTGGCTGAGATCCGCTTGACGTCAGACATGTAGCCATGGGTGAGACTGGGAAGTAAGAGAAAGTAAGGAGGCCTGGGTGGAAGGAACCCCAGACTTAACTGCTCCCTTCAACTCCACAGTTCTGTTCCCAGAACACTGGTCCTGGCACACACCACCTCATTGCTCTGTCCACTCTGTGGTGGATACTGTAACTGGGATCTTATCTTCCTCATCCACTGTGACATGCAGGACAGGGCAAAGCCTGTTCCATCAGTATAGTCCACAGTAGGTATTCAATAAATACCACCTTTCCCACACCAATCTGCCCACCAAGCCCATCAGTCAGCCCATTCATACTCACTGGCCCCCATCAGGCAGGTCCAGCCCCATGATCCGGTCGTGAGGTTGCAGAAGGGCTGTGTAGGCAGCCAGGTTGGCTGGGGACCCGGAGTAGGGCTGGACATTGACTCCCCACTGTGCAGGGTCCAGGTCAAAGGCTTCCAAGGCCCGGCGCTGGCACAGCAGCTCAATTTCATCCACCACCTCTGCTCCCCCGTAATATCTGCCATGGGAGAGGGGTAATGAGGGCACAGAGAACGGACTCTCAACCAGCAGCAAAGGACTGGGAAGTTCACTCCTCAATGAACACTGGGAAGGTACAGGTGGGTTCCCCCACTGGGAGCACCATCCCTGACACTGCCCTCCAGCCCTCACCTCTTGCCAGGGTAACCCTCCGAGTACTTGTTGTTCAGACAGGACCCCAGGGCCTCCAGCGCAGCTCGGCTGCAGAAGTTCTGGGGTGGTGGGGGGCAATGTCAGAAGGTATTGAGCCCCTTCCCCTGGACTCCCATAGTCCCTCCCTGCCAGAGCCAGAGCTGAAATTGGGAGTACTCCCTGCAGAAATTTCCATTCACTCAGGGCCAGGCCTGGGACAAAGCCAGAGGCAGCATTTTTCAGAAACCCAGCTGCAATGAGAGGTGGCCCCTCCAGGCTACCTACCCACTCAAACTTGTGCTTCTAGGCTCCTCTTTCCTCGTGGAAGGAAGGGGGAGATCAGATGAGACTGTAGGGACCCTGGAAGCTCCCCTAATGCCCCAACCCCATAAATTAGACTTGCCCTGCCTTTGCTTCAGAGAGATAAGAAAGGAGAATAAAGCCCCAAAAAAAGGTCCTGAGTGTGAAAGGTGTTCTGGAGAATATCTGTTAAGGTAACTTCGTTACTTCCTGTACCCATGGTGGCCCAACCCCTGCCCATCTCCCCAGGTCCCACCTCTGAGGCAATGAGCTCCAGGCCTCGACACTGCCTGTCCTTCTCCCTCCGCAGCAGCTCCCACATCTCAGGGTCACTGTCCGACAGGCTCTCCTGGCCTGTCCAGCCCCTGTTTGCTTCCCCAGTCTGAGTCTGGGCTGCCTTGCTGTGCTGAGCCCGAATGGCCGTCCTGACCAGCTGCCCACATCTCTGCAGAGGCTGGAGGCAGGAAAAGTCAGGGTGAAATCACAACAGTCCAGACAGATGGTCTCCTGACCACCCTCACTCATGCTTGTAAGGCCACACCAAGGAGCCAGTTGTCCAGCCAGCCTGTTTCAGTTCTCACTATCCCCACCTCCACCTTCAAATGCCAGTTCTAGAGCCAGGCTTGAGATCAATGTCCAGGGGGTGGTTCTGATTTGTTCCATTCACTGCACTGCACCTCAGAAATCTCCCACCACCTCAGTCCATGAACCACTCTGCAAAGCTTGTCCTCGAGAAGCCTATGTCTCCCCTACTCCAGAGAGGGCCACTGAGATTCCAGAACCTTCCCACCCACCGGAACAACGGGGTCTTCCAGCAGGGCAGCATAAACATACCCTAGTCAGTGGGGTGTGGGGCGGGGGGGAGATAGAGTTGGCAAGGGCTGAGGTCACAGGCTGTAGAGCAATGGAGGTGGGAGGGTAGACCTTTAGCAGTCCCTGGAGAAGAGTTATGTGGGAGGGGTAGGGGTGAGGGTTTGCCCGAAAGGAAGCCAATACCCTGTTCCCTTAGTTAGCCCCCTGCCCCTTCCACCTCCTTCCAGCCCTCCCTGCGGCAGGACCCCTGCCTGATGCAAGCAGTGAGGCTCGGTTGCATCATCTGCAGGGCTCAAAGCTGGCCGGAAAGGCTCAGCTTGTGAGGCCAGGCCGAGAACTCCGCTCATTCGCCAGCACGGGGTCCTCTGGGCATCCGGCGCTGTCCTCTCCCCTAATGCCACGTGAAATGGGCGATCACCAGGCCCTGGGACGTCTGATCTCCAGAATGAGGACAGGTTCGCAGTTCACTCCACGCGTGCCCAGGGGTCTTGGGGATTCCCTAGTTACACGTCCGCTCCCTGAGGCCCCAGTCCACGTGCGTGGACAAGCCGAGAGAACCCCAGAGTTTGTGACTAGGAACTAAGGTAGAAGAGCTTCCTTTCTACTGGTTACCTAGCGTCTGGAGCCCCATTCTTACCCGAGTCGCCCAGAGCAAAGAGAAGTACAGCATCGCAACTCGGAAGTCGCAGGAGGTCCAGCCACCAACTCTGGTCTAGGGCAAGCTGTCGGAAGAAGACCGATCGGAGAACGCATGCGCGAGAAGAGCGCGCTGAGAAGCCAAAGCTAAAGGGAGGGACCTACGCATGCGTAATGGTGGCCCCTTTGTGTGGTCTTATGGGAATTGTAGTTTTTCCCACTTTTTTCTCTACAAGTCCCGTCTGTAGCCCCAGGTTTAGAGGCCCGAGTCTGGAAAACAAAACAAAACAAAACAAAACAAAACAAAACAAAACAAAAACAGCCTAGTGCTGCCTTCTCTCCTAACTGTCCTGAAGCTTTTCAGGGTTTGTTTTCCCTCTGTCCATTTTCAAGACCAATGTTAGGCCGGGCGCGGTGGCTCAAGCCTGTAATCCCAGCACTTTGGGAGGCCGAGGCGGGTGGATCACAAGGTCAAGAGATCGAGACCATCCTGGTCAACATGGTGAAACCCCGTCTCTACTAAAACTACAAAAAATTAGCTGGGCATGGTGGCGCGTGCCTGTAATCCCAGCTACTCAGGAGGCTGAGGCAGGAGAATTGCCTGAACCCAGGAGGCGGAGGTTGCGGTGAGCCGAGATCGCGCCATTGCACTCCAGCCTGGGTAACAAGAGCGAAACTCCATCTCAAAAAAAAAAAAAAGACCAATGTTGATTGGGTGCCTACTGTATATCTAGCTAGCTTTATTAGGCTCCAGGAGATCTGGACTCCCACACAAAATAGAGAGCTATGGAGCACTGGAAAGCACCATGGTTTAGAAGGGTCAGAGACTTGACTTCAAGTTCCAGCTCTGGGACTAGCACATTAGCCCATGTGGGCTTCAGTTTCCTCCCTGGTAAAGCCACAAGAAAATACTGTGTGGTGGGGATTCAATGAGGCTTTTCCTGTGAACCTGCGCTGTGATGGATCGTCCTTCCCTCTTCCTCTGACCCACAGACCTGCCTCCTCCAAGATGTCTCCTCTTTCTCCTCAGACATCTGGGAGCAGAGGGAGGCGCCCCTTCTGTTGTTCACTTATCGCATTTTGTCACCTGTGCATCTCTTGATGTCTCAGCAGTCAGTGGGCTCTTCTTTTTTCCCCAGGGCTATAGATCCTTGGGACTGGAAGGGACCTTCGTTTTAGCCTGACTTCATCTGGATGAAACCCTTGGGAGTAGGACTCATTGACCCCTCCAGGAAGAGGTTTCCAAACCTGGGTTGGAAAATATGATATAAATATGAGTGTGGGGTCTGTCTTCAGAGGTCCTAATTCAATGGATCTCAAGGAGTAGACACTTGCCCACCTATGCTGCCACACAACTAAACCTCTCCTCAGTGGTTCTGATAAGCCAACTTGGTTTTTTAAATTATTATTATTAAAAAAAAATGCTTTTGGCTGGGCATGGTGGCTCATGCCTGTAATCTCAGCACTTTGGGAGGCTGAGGCAGGAGGATCTCTTGAGGCCAGGATTTCTTTTTTTTTTTTTTTTTTGAGACGGGGTTTCGCTCTTGTTACCCAGGCTGGAGTGCAATGGCGCAATCTCAGCTCACCGCAACCTCCGCCTCCTGGGTTCAGGCAATTCTCCTGCCTCAGCCTCCTGAGTAGCTGGGATTACAGGCACGCGCCACCATGCCCAGCTAATTTTTTGTAGTTTTAGTAGAGATGGGGTTTCACCGCGTTGACCAGGATGGTCTCGATCTCTTGACCTCGTGATCCACCCGCCTCGGCCTCCCAAAGTGCTGGGATTACAGGCATGAGCCACCGCGCCCGGCCCAAGGCCAGGATTTCTAAACCAGCCTGGTCAACATAGTGAGACCCCATCTCTACAAAATAAAAATTTTAAAATTAGCTAGGCATGGTGGTATGTGCATGCAGTCCTGGCTACTGGGAAGGTTGAGGCAGGAAGGTCAACCCGGGAGTTCAAGGTGAGCTATGGTCAAGCCTCTGCACTCCAGCCTGGGGAAGAGAGTGAGACTGTCTCAAAAAAAAAATTTTTTTTTTTTTTTTTTTTTTTTTTGAGACAGAGTTTCACCCTTGTTACCCAGGCTGGAGTGCAGTGGCATGATCTTGGCTCATTGCAACTTCTGCCTCCCAGATTCAAGCAATTCTCCTGCCTCAGCCTCCCAAGTAGCTGGGACTACAGGCAGGCGCCAACACGCCCAGCTAATTTTTGTATTTTTAGTAGAGACGAGGTTTCACTGTGTTGGCCAGGATGGTCTCGATCTCTTGACCTCATGATCTGCCTGCCTTAGCCTCCCAAAGTACTGGGATTACATGTGTGAGCTGCCATGCCTGGCCAAAAAAAAAAAAAAAAAAATTGTTCACCATGTTGGTCAGGCTGGTCTTGAACTCCCAACCTCAGGTGATCCGCCCACCTTGGCCTCCAAAGTGCTTGGATTACAGGCGTGAGCCACCGCGCGCGGCCCCAAAAATTGTTTTTTAAAGGCTAGTGAAGCAGTGGGAGTGAAGGAGGAACAAAGAAACCTGTAACTGGTTGTGATCAATTAGTTGTAAACATCACTGCTCTTGGACAGACAACCAGTGGTTTTGAGAATCATTGCCTTATGTAGCAAAGTTATTCATTCAACAGACAGATTGAGCTCTTACTCTATGCCAGGCATGCCATACCCCTGGAGATATATGAAGAGCTCGCTGGCTGCTGGGATACCACGAGGTGAACAGGTAACAAAATGTGACAATGACAAGCAGGGGCACCTTACCCTGCTCTCAGATGCCCAGATGTATGAGGTAGAGGAGGAGGAGGAAGAGGAGGAGATGCCTTGGAAAAGGCAGAGGAAGAGGAGATAACAATCCATCACAGCAAATGTTCACAAGAAAAGCCTCATTGAATCCCCACCACACACTATTTACTGTGGCTTTACAAGTGAAGAAACTAAGGCCCAGATGGGCTAATTTGCGAATTCCAGCCATCCCCACCTGGCTCTCATACCAGGCCTTAGAAATGCCTCCTCAGCTGGACTCTCCTTCCCTGCCACTCTAGGCTCGGCTTTTCTCAGGTGTTTCCAGCAATAAGCCTGGTGTTAGACTTCTGGGTTCTTCTGCTTCTCGCCAGTCTCGGCTCCAGAACCATTCCCCATCTCCCTGCTCTCTTCAGTTGACCCTGTTATTCCTCTATCCAGCCAGCCAGCAGATATTTATTTTCTGCTTACTGACTTTTCACTCCCAGATATGTCTGGGTCAGACCCGGTTTCTGACTCAGTTTCAGGCTGCAGCCAGTGGGCAAGCCCCTGGGGAACACTGCCCTCCCAGAAGCATCCTGACCCTGGACTCAAGGCAAAGATGAGGAGTTTCTCGGTGCCTCAGCTTGTCCGCACCCCCTCCCTCCTCCAGCTAGGGGTCCCTAGGGGAGGGGGGCGGCTGAGCTGAGAACCGCTAATGAAGCCGCAGCCAATTAACGCCCAGGCCAGGGTTGGGGGCGGATAAAATTAGCAGCCTCGGCTGCAGGAAGAAGCCGGAGGCAGGGGTTGGGGGAGGGTGGGCGTTTGGCTAAAGAGGGCTGTGTTTGCAGGCGGCAAGTAGCGGCGACGGGCCCCGCCTTCCAAACCGGCGCTGGCCCCTTCCCCCACCCCCTCATCCCAAAGCTCCCTCCCTCCCTCATCCGTCTGCAAACTCAGCGCCCACGAAATTAGGAAGGAAAAGGAAGATCGATGACTCCAGATGCTGTGAACACCGTTCCCCCCCCCCCTCCCAACCTGCCACCTCCCGCCGGCCCCGCGGAGCTTAGCACGTTGTCAGCGCTCCGCGGACACTCCCTGCGTCTCCATCCCATTCAAGGTCTTGCAATTCCTTCCCCACATCGTCCCAAATAGTTCGCTGATGATCCCCACTTGGGTCTCATCTCCATCTCACCTGCTGCAGCTTCCCTTCGCCCACCTCAGGGAGGAGAATCCCAACCTCAGGCGGGCTCCTACACCGAGGGTAACCCTCAGCTCTCTTTGATCCGGTCTTTGGTGACTTCCAAGGTTGTTAGCTCTGTCAGGCTTTGCCGTGGTTTCCCCACGGGCCGCTGAGGGAGAAGGCCCTGGCCAGGTCTCTACCAGACAGACGCCCACACCACATCCCCATTCCCTACAAAGGTCTCACACAGGCGCGTATTGGATTTCACTTTATTTTGTTCCCTTTCTCGTCTGTTTTGGCGTAGAAAAAATATCACCGAGAGGAAGCAGTTGGAGAGGGCGGGTGGAGCTGGACTGCAGGGACTGACTGGAGGGAGGCGGGTAGGGGCCGGGCCGGGCCAGCGCCTCAGCCCAGGAGTTCTGCTTCCACTACCCTAACGGGGTTTGGAGGAAACCGGGACAGGCATATAGCAGGCAGAAAGGTGGGAGGACAGGCCGGGGTTTTTAGGCCTTTACAGTCTTAGGTGGGCAGGGTGGGGCAGGACAAAGTGCTGGGGGATAGGAAAGTCAGGGCGGGTTGAGGGTGCCAGGCCAGGAGTTATTAAAGCTGCGGGGGGAAAGGGAGTGCCCAGCCTAGCGCCGAGGATGAAAAAGGGACTCAGTGTGGACCTAGGGGACATTGGGACCACCTCCAAGCCCCGCCTATTCTGGGGCTGCACTCTTACCCCTTTCATTTTGGGGTGTATTGGAGGGGGTTGCCCCAGCCTCTTGGGCACTCCACATAAGGAAAAGGGCACCCACGCTAGCTGAGGGTCCCGAGAGGGCCGTTCCCCTCCACCCCCAGAGTGGAAGAAGTGGGGCCAAGGGAGTGGCAGAACACGGGGAGCGGGGTGGGGGTTCCCACCTTGTGAGGCTGGGATTTGGCAGGAGGCTCGGGGCTGGGGCTGGGGCTGGAGAGGGGCGCTATCCGAAGTAGGGGTGCTCACTCTGGAAGTTATAGTCTGGGCACACCTTCTGCACCAGTTTGTAGTCAAAGCTGAGGAAAGAAACGAAGATACAGATGACTTTGAAGGGCTTGGCACAGAGCCAGGCGGCCTGGCTCTGCGTGTGCTCGGTGAAGCACACCTGCGATGGGTCGTACAGGCACGGGCGGTGCTTGCGCGCGCGGTTTGTCTTCTCATACTCCACGTGGCAATTGAAAGCGCGCGACTCTTTGGCCCCTGGCACTCCCAGCGCGCCCCCAAGCGGCCCCGCCAGTGCGCCCCCGAGGGAGCCCCCAATCCCCGGCCCTGCCGCCGCTATCCCCAGCGGGGGCCCCAGCCCAGGAAGCACCC